CCGCCCACCCCGTCCTTTCACCCCTAGAGTAACTTGGTCGTATTAGACTGTAGTAATACGATTAAGGCCAAAAAAAATCCCTTTGTTATTTGCTTTGGCCATGTCCCGTGCATCCGCCCCCCTCTCACGATTTTCCAAAATAATACTATACTCCATTCTCTCTCCCCCTTTCTAGCTTTTCTCCTCCTCGTCGGCCCCCCTCCCTCCCCTTCCAAACCTCGTCTTCTACAACCTACTTTCCAGCCACGATCACGAAGAAAACACCGCTCAATCAACTTCGTCATCAATTTCGACACCTTCATGCTCTCTGCGGCATCTCAAGACTTCCATAATTCTATGCGGCAGAATACGCAGTTTTGATTTCCGGCCTCGGATCGTCGCATCTGTCGCCACGTCATTCGCTTTCCTTGCTGAATTGAACGACGTCGGTCGTCGAGTTTTCCTGTATCCGCCCTGTTCCCAACTTTGGTCGGGGTTTGAGGCTATTCGCAACAACAACAAGGACCCATAAATTCTCCATCTCCTGCGTTACTGCACATTCTCTGGAACAATCTTATCCCGCTATCCCGACCGCCCCAAAAAAACGTCACACGTCACCGGCCTCTTTCTCTTCCTTTTTTTTTTTTTTTGGCTCTCGCCTAAAGCAGGCAACACCCACCCGCCTGCTTAAAGGGTCGCACCTGCCGCCAAGGGCGCGCGCTGCAGGCTGCAGGTACCTGGCTCGCGCTTGCCTCAAACGCCAAATCGGTCCAACACCGTCATCACCAGCCAAACGGGTTGTGTGACAAACGCCATTGACTTGGGCCCTTGTTCTATTTCTTTTTTTCCTTTTTTTTTTTCTTCTCTGTTTTTCATTCTCGCCTCTCTGTCAGGTTTCTTACTGCCTGTGTCTTATCTCTTGTTTGTTCCTTCCAGAGCACATGATTCATTCATAATCATCCATAACCTCCGACAACCCTTGTCTACTACCTTCACCGACCCTCTCGGTTGCTCTCTCACAACATAATACCACCCCGCACCGTCACCACTTGCGAGACACCTCTCTCACGCCTCTATCCCTCCATCACAGCACATATAAACAGACATGGGTACTCCGTCACGGTACGAATCATCACCAGGTGACTTGTCCTCCCCTCCCTCAGGACCCCTCTCGGAACCAGGCTCCCCAACTCGCCGGGAAGGCGCCAAGAAGATGGCCAGCGACGAGATCGTTGTCAACGACGGCCAGGACGCCGGTGCTAGGCCCCCAGACGAGATCCGCACATCTGACGAATCTGGGAGGCGCTACGGTCGTTACGGCGAAGAGTGGGTGCAGCTGACGGCGTCCGGCCTCCCTCGGAAGAAACCTGGGCGCAAGCCCGGCGCCAACATCAAATCCAAGGCAGAGGGCTCTGACCAGCCCGACGCAAAGGTTCGTAAGCCCAGGAAGCCTCGCGATCCGAATGCACCTCCCGTTCAGCGAAAGCGGAAGGTGGCCTGTACCGATGGCGACGCTACCAGCGAGGGCCCTTCGCCCAAGCTGGTCGCCCTGGGAGCTCCCAACGAGCCGTCCCACCCTCCCTCACAGCAGCAGACCGCTCAGAGCCACGGCCCGGCCTCAGCCTCACATGGCAACTCGCTGCTCGACCATCGTTACTCCCCGACCGTCCCCAAACGAGAGCCCTCCGCGCCGAGCTCGATGCACAACCTCCTCAACGTCGACCCGCCTTCCCGGCCTCACACGACGGGACCCAGCAACGGTGCGGCGCCTTCCCGTTCGAGCGGCCAGAGCTACGATCCGATTCGCGATGGAAAATATGACCCCGTGCGCGAGTCCATGGGCCTGTCCAACTCTGGGTCGCCCCGGGCGCAGCCTCAACCTACCAACCGGTCGCCGTCGATCGCCAGCATCATCGAGCCCCCCGGTCTCAGCCTAAGGTCGCCTCCGAGACAGCCGCACAGTGGAGGATACCAGCCCTCCAAGCTGCCGGGGCACGAGGCCTCTCTGCCCGCGTCACCGTCGCAACCGCCCCGCTCGACATCCCACGCGCTGCCAGCTTCATCCCGTTCCGCAGCAGCTGCAGAAAAGGACGAGCCTAAGAAGAGGGAGAGCAGAGACCAGCCGCCCGCACCGCCGCCGCTACCAAAGCCCGTCGTCAACGAATCCAACTTTACAACCATTGCCAGCGGACCCGTCAAGAAGGTGTCGCCCAAGCAGACGGTCGCGTCGGCCCCGACGCCCAAGACGGACAACAGCGTCGACGAGGTGATGCAGGAGGGCGACAACAGGTCCATCCTGGACTTTGGTCGCGCCAAGCCGGGCGAGGAGATGGCGACACCCTCAATTGTCCTGAGCATACCTATCCGCGCCGGCGAGACCAACAAGTACGTTAACTTTATGCGCCTGGCCGAGGACCGCTACGGCTGGGATGCGCTGCACCCGCGTCTGGCGGCCGACCGCGACCGCAAGGCACGCATCGCAGCCGCGGCCGCGTCGCTCGAAAAGGTGGAGTCGGGCCGCGAGTCGGGCGAGGGAGACGACATGTCGGTAGACCTGTCGGACGCCGAGGCCAGCAACCCCGAGAACGGAGGTGGTGCCAGCGGTGCAGATGGCGCGCAGACGAAGCCGGCCAAGAAGAAGCGCAACTTTAAAGAGGACAACTACGACGTTGACGACGACTTCGTCGATGACTCGGAGCTGATGTGGGAAGCCCAGGCGGCAGCCAGTCGAGATGGATTTTTTGTGTATTCTGGACCTCTTGTCCCCGAGGTTGAGAAGCCAGCAGGGTATGTCTTTCTTCTCGTCTCTTTTTCTTCCTGCTTCGACCGAAATGGAAATGCTCACTTTTTTTTTTTAATAAAAAAAACAGACAAGAAGCTGCCCCCAAACGAGGTCGTGGAAGTCGCGGCGGTCGTGGCGGAAGCCGTGCCTCGACTCGCGGTGGTGCCACTGCCACAGGTGGAGGACGCAACGGCGGCGGCCCGGGATCGCGAGGCGGCGGCGCACCCAAGAAGCCCCGCGTGACCAAGTCTGAGAAGGCGCAGAGGGAGAGGGAGAAGGCGGAGAAGGAGACGATGGCTCAGCTTGGGAGGTCAAATGGACTTACCACGCCTTCATTGTCTGTGACTGAGTTGGGGGCATAGGTGTTCCTTTCTTTCCTTTCCTCCCTCTACCCTTTCAACTGCTTCGCTCACGAAGCATTGTCGATCCATTCCATTTGTTCTGGGCGGCACTGGCTTTTCTTCACTTGTCTTATATTCAACCATTCGGGGGTATCTTCTTTTTCTTGGGGTTCTTGTTTTCACGGGAGGGTATTTCTTTTCTTTGAAATCTTTTTTTTTTTTTAGCATGGGGAAAGTTGAGGGCAAACATGGAGTCAATGGGGTGTCAAGATTGGGTGCTTTTGCTTTGCTTTGCTTTGCTTTGCTTTGCTTTGCTTCGCTTTGCTTTGCTTTGCTTTGCTTCGCTTTGCCTTGCCTTGCTTTGTTTCTTGGGAGTCTCTTTCTTTTTTTTTCTGCACATGTTTCTTGATCAGTATTCCATAGAGCGAATAAAGACGGGGAGTTTTTTTTGTTTGTTATTTACTTGATTTCATCAACTCGACTTTTTTTTTTGTTCTCTGCCCCCCCCCCCCCCCCTTTGCCAACCCCTGCTACATCTACTACATAAGATCCATGGACTCATTCAACTTGATATCTTCTTCTTCTCTTCCCTTGTCTTCACATGATTTTCTCCTCTCTCGCTTGACTACTGCCATCTCCCCCCACCTCTCTCCCGCATGACTTACACCTCATCCTTTCCACCCTTTGCCTCGCTTCACTCGCCTTATGCTATGCTAAACTCTGGAACAGCCCCCATCTCACTCCTATCCTGACCACCAACCTTGTAAGTAGCTCTCCACCTGAGCTTGACAGACTCGACTCTGGAAGCCCGGTTACCGGCGTGCCAGACCTGTACGACTTGGGTGATGCCTCTTGTCTGCTTGGGGGAGAGTGATCGACCTGTCTGGGGTTGTAGTTCGAGTTCGTAGCCCTGTTTGTTTTTTTTGTCTCGTTAGTTCCTATTTCTATTTTTCCCCCTCTTCTCATTTCTCTCATCCTTCTCTTGTCCTTTTCTTTCGTCCGTTTTTCTTGATAGGAAGCTGTGAAGAAGACGAGAAGAGAAACGGATTGAACGGATAGAAGACCGGGGGGGAGGAGAAAAATACCTTTGTAACGGCCAGTTGAAAGTGCAGCTCCGACACATCAGAAGCAGTATTGTTGCTGAATGCAAACTGGACACTCATGCAGTTTGGACTGGAGGGGTTACGCAGAGCAGCCATGTCGATGCGCAGTTCCGTGCTGCTTATCGTCGAACGGTGCTCGCGCGGCTTGTCATTCGCTACGGGTGGCAGGGCGGATGAAAAGTTCCATTCGTCTTCGTCGCCTGCCGTAGCGGCAGCAGGAGCAGCAGCAGGTGGTGCGGGGGAGAATGAGGATGGGACGGCTGGAGATCTGCTGCTGTTACTGTAGTTGTAGCTGTTGTTGTTGTTGTTGCTGTTGTTGTTGTTGTTGTCGTTGATGGCATTGCTAGGAGTGGAAGGGGATGATATACCCAGGGCGGCAAAGGGGTCCGATGCTGCCGGAGCCGGAGCCGGAGCCGGTGACGGTGCTGCAAATGCAGAGGTCGACTGCTGAGGTGTCATTGATTGTGGTGTAGACGGGGATCCGAACGATGGGAACTGTGGCGTAGTGTTGTTATTGTTGTTGTAACTGTTGTAGTTGTTGTTGGCCATGTTGTTATCTGTCAGAGACGAGAGTAGTGCCGGTCCAGGAACGTCTATAACTTTGTTAATAAAGAGGTCATCCGCATGCGTGTATATATATATATATATATATGACGAGACCTGCAAAGAGAGTACAGGAAAACTCACTCTGATTAGCACCGAACCCGAGAGCAATACCGCCGCCCTGACCAAAGCTGCCGGAGCTGCTCGACCCTCCACCGATATCGAGACCGAGAAGGTCATTCTCCAGACCGCTGGCCCCTGCTGCGGGCTGCTGCCGAGGCTGCGATGAAGAAGCGCCGGCACCGGCACCGGCACCGGCACCCGCCTGCCCATTGCTGCCACCACTTACCCCGGACAGATCCGTATCAAAGTCGATGAGGGACAGCTCTCCCGGAGCATTGCCGACAGTGGTGGTCTGCGAGGGCGCGGGTCCGCCGGCTGCCACCTTGGCGGCACCCTCCATGTCGCCCTTCTTCATGAGCTTGTAGCGCTCGACGGTACGGTGTATGCTGTCGTTGATCTCAAACAGCTTGGCGACGGCCTCGTGGTCGTCCGACTCCTCCTCGCACATCTTCTGGATCTTGGGCTGCGCGCTCTGCAGGGCGGAGGCCAGCTCGCTGAAGACGTCCCCCTCCTCCATCTTGTCACCAGCCCGGAAGGCCTCGAGACGCTCCTCGAGAAGTCGGGCCTTGGCCTGGATCTTGGCCACGTCCTCGGCCGCCTTGGCGCGGTAGTCGGTCTTGGAGCGTTGGTCGAAGCCGGCCATGACCTTCATCAGCCGGTTGGCCTCTTGGAGGTCGTGCGGAGTTCCGCGGCGGATGAGCTCCTGGAGCTTGGCCGACTGGGCTTCGCGCTCTTCTTCTTCCATCTCCTCGACGGATTTGAGGTTCTGCAAAGGTCAGGGGTGAGCAAGGTCAGGGGGGGGGCGGCATAACAACGAGGGATGGAGAGAATATGGAGATGGAGGTAACTCTCGAGATGAGATGAAAAGATGGGCAAGATGGAGACTTACATCACTTGGATTGAGGACGGCTGCATCTTCGCGACGCACTTCGGGAAACGTGTACCCCTTGTAGCTGAGCAGGCGGTGCATGTCGCGGATGAAGCCCAGGTCTTCGCGGTACCGGCTCGTCTCGCATATCGTCACGCGCCACTCCTCAATGGCCTCGAGGATCTTGGCCTGGACGCGGGTAGGCCGGATGGACGGACGTTCAGGGAATCGGCGGACGAGCTCGTTGAGGAACTCCTTTGTGCTGATCTGCAGGTGAAAGGGGTAGCCGCAGTTCTTGACGCAGATGTCGAGCAGGTTGAGGGCCAGCAGGGCGACATTGGGGTTGCGGTGGTTGATGTAGTTGACAATCTCGGTGGCGGCCTCACGCGGCGCCGTACCCTTCTTGGTGTTGATCAGGTCCGAGATCTCGAGGTTGAGGGCCAGGTTGGGCTCGTAATTCTCCGGGCTGCAGGCCGCAAGGATGAAGCGTTGGAGCTGCGACGGCGTGCGGCCCTGCTCGCCCCAGCGGTCGCGAGCTGCCGCTCGGGCTGATGCTGCCTCCATCCGTGCGTTCGTGCGTGCGTGCGTGCGTGTTGATCCCTGTCCGATCTCGTCGTAGCTGTCGTAGGACGGACAATTGCTGGGCGGGGGAGGGAGGGAGGCCCGATAGACAAGGTGTCGCCCGGAGATGGCGAAAGTCGGAGAGACGGAGGAGAGTGGTAAAGCTCTCAAGCGCGGCTGCTCTCGAGGGGCTATCGAGAGCTATCGAGATGATGTCTGTCGCGGAAGGGAACACCGCGATATAGAACAAACAGCTGAATACGTTCCCCCTCTTGTCGAGAAGCTGTCCGCTCTTGTCGGAGATGGTGGTGACGATGCTTAGGTGAGAGGTGAGGAGGAAGACTAGGAGGAGGAGGGGACACACACACACGTAATCGAGAGAATCCAGAGGGGGGGAGGTGGCCTGTATTGCAGGGAACTACTGGTGACTGCAAGGGGGGCAGCAGCTGAATTACAGGGGTGTGCAGAGATGTTACAGTGGATGTACTAGCAGTACTTGAACGCCTGTTTAGTGGTCTTGGTGGGAAGGGGGGGGGGGGACATGAACTACCTATCAAATGGCTCCGGCTCCCCACAATAGACGTCAGGCGGGGAGAACGGATGACATAATAGCTGCGACAGTCCTCATACTTTTCGACCTTGATACTGTCCCCCACACTTTTATGTCATCCATCACATCCTGTCGTGTTAAAATCTGCCCCTCCATCACCAACATCCCACATTCCTCCCAATAATCATTCTGCATAATATACGACCAAGTCTCAAACTCCCATGCTACCCAGACAGTAATGGTTCGTCACAAAAAGGACTTTGCCCAGCGCGGCAAGCGAGGTGGCGGTCGCGGCGGCGGTCGCGGCGGCGGTCGCGGTGGCGGAGGACCCCGTCACCAACCACGCGACAACGACGACGACAGCTACCGCGGTGCACCGCCGGCCTTCAAAGCCGCATGCTGGGATCTGGGACACTGCGACCCGCGACGGTGCTCTGGAAAGAAGCTGATGAAGCTTGGGCTGATGCGCGACCTGCACCTGGGCCAGCGGCACAACGGCGTCATCATCACGCCCAACGGGAAGCACGTGGTGTCCCCCGCGGACCGCGAGCTGATGGACAGCTACGGCGCCGCCGTGGTCGAGTGCTCGTGGGCGCGCACGGCCGAAGTCCAGTGGAACAAGGTGGGCGGCAAGTGCGAGAGGCTGCTCCCGTACCTGGTGGCGGCCAACACCGTCAACTACGGGAAGCCGTGGCGGCTGAACTGCGTCGAGGCCCTGGCCGCGTCCTTCTTCATCTGCGGCCACGCCGACTGGGCCGAGCAGATCCTCGCGCCCTTCTCCTACGGCAGCGCCTTCCTGGAGATCAACTCTAGTCTGCTCAGGAAGTATGCCGCCTGCACCGACGAGGCCGACGTCAAGCGCACTGAGCAGGAGTGGATGGATCGTCTGGAACGCGAGTACGCCGAGAGCAGGGACGTCAATGACCTGGATAGCATGTGGACTACCGGCAACACCAACCACCGACCGCCAGAGTCCTCCTCGGACGACGACGACGAGGGCGACGACGACGACGACGACGACGACGACAATAGTGAAAAGGCTAGTGTCGATGGTATATACCTGGGTAGAAGCCCCAAGCCGGGCGAGAAGGTCACAGAGGAGGAAGAGGAGGAAAAGGACGGGTACGCCCTGTCGGATGACAGTGATGAGGACGACGGTGCCATGGAGGAGATCCGTCGCAAGGTCCTCGCCTCCAAGACCTTTGCCAACCCCACCGACGACAGGGACAGGAAGAAGCCGGAGACGATATCCAAACCCCAGCAACGCTTCCACACCGACTTCGATGCCCGTCCGGACTCGGACAACGACGACGACGATGACGACGACGACGACGACGATGACGACGACGACGACGACGGTGATGACGAGTTCGACAAAATCATCGATGCTACCCCCGTCACCGACAAGATTGGCTTGTCCAAGTTGGAAAAGGAGCGTCAGAGGGCCGTCATCACCACAAGGACATTTACGTCCGGCTCCGTGTCTGCGCCGGGGAGGTGGTGATACTCCACGTAGTGAATATACCACTTTGAATTCAGGCCCTGTAATTCCTGTTATGCCTCCGGCGGTCCTTGCCCAGGGGGGCTCTCCTCGTACGCTCGTCTTGGAGCACATGCGAAGTTATCGTACATATATAATACAGGCTATACACTATGATACACGGCACTACAGCTGCCTCTTCTCCTCGACAAGCTCGTACGTCTGAACCTGGTCGTCAACGTGCAGATCCTCGAACCCTTCAAAGAAGACGCCGCATTCCGCACCTTTACCCATCTCCATGACGTCCTTTTTGACATGGCGGAGAGTTTCGATTTTGCCTTGCCATCAGTTAGCATTTATTTAAAAATGGCAGGGTGAGAGAGAGAGCGAGAGAATGGGAGAGAGAAGGAGAGAAGGAGAGAATGAGAGAGAGAAAGAGAGAGAGGGGGGGGGGAAGACTCACCATCGTAGACGACATTCCCCTTCCTGATGACTTTGACGAGACTAGTCCTCTTGATGGAACCGTTTCGTATCCTGCACCCCGCGACATTCCTCATCTTCCTCCCCTTGACGTTGATGGGGAAGATCTGGAGGACGTCAGCCTCGCCCAGGACGCGGTGCGACACCGTGCTGGGTAGCAGGTCGGCCAGACATGCCCTCGCCTCGTCGACGAGGTGGTAGATGACGCTGTGGTCGATGATGCGCACGCCCGCCTCGGCGGCGCGCAGCTTGATGTGCGGCTGCACCGCCATGTTGAAGTTGACCAGGATGCTGCCTGACGTGGCGGCGTGGTCGACGTCGTACTCGGACAGCGGGCCCGTGGCCGACCTCAGCACCCGTGACTGGACCTCGTTGTTCCCCTGCTCCAGGATGCTGGTGCATACCGCCTCCACCGAGCCGGCGACGTCGGCCCGGACCACGAAGTTCTGCATGCGCACCTTGGGCGTCGTGTCAGGCGGAGGGGCGTCGCCGTCTGCTGCTGCTGCTGCTGCCTCCGCCGCCGCCTCCGCCGCCGCCTCGGCCTCGCGCTGCTGCTGCTCCAGGTACACCGAGCTCTGCTGCCGCTCCGCCATCTCCTGTCTGTACTCGATCGCCGTCTTGGCCCTGTCCTCGTCGGGAGCCTGGAGGACCTGCTCGCCCGCCTCCGGGAGGTCGCGCCATCCGAGGATCTCGACGGGGGTACCGGGCCCGGCGAGGGCCATGTCGACGCCTGCCTCGTTGCGCAGCGAGCGGATGCGCGCCCACGAGCGTCCGGCCACGATCACGTCTCCCGTGCGTAGGGTGCCGCGCTTGACCAGCACCGTGGCCACCTTGCCGAGAGGCTTGATGCTCGACTCGAGCACCCAGCCTTCCGCCATGACGCCCTCGGGCTCTGCGCGCGCGTCGAGCATCTCGGACAGCGTGACGATGTTCTCCTCCAGGTCCGCCATGCCCTGGCCCGTCTTGCCGCTGACGCATACCACCTGCACGTCGCCGCCGTAGTCCTCGATCAGCACGCCGTGCCGGGACAGGTCTGCCTTGACCTGCTCCACGCGCGCCTCCTCCTTGTCCACCTTGTTGATGGCCACGATGATGGGCACCTTGGCATTGTTGGCGTGCTTGAGCGCCTCGAGCGTCTGCGGCTTCACGCTGTCGTCCGCTGCCACCACCAGCACGACAATGTCCGTCACATTGGCTCCGCGCTGCCGCATGCTCAGGAAGGCCGCGTGCCCGGGCGTGTCCAGGAAGGTGATTGCCTTCTCCGTCGACGACATCTTGACCACGAACGCACCGATGTGCTGCGTTATCCCGCCGTGCTCCTGCGCTGCCACCGACGACTTGCGCAGCCAGTCCAGCAGCGTCGTCTTGCCGTGGTCCACGTGGCCCATGATGGTCACGATGGGGGGCCGCGTCGGCAGGGACGACACGTCCTCCGGCGTCGGGGACGGACGCAGGTCTCGCTGAGATCCGTTATCCACCGTCGGCTCGAACCCGTACTCCATGGCGATGAGCGCCGCCGTCTCCCCCGTCATGATGGTTTCGCTCGTCATCTTCTCGAAGCCCATCTCTTCCAGGTCAGACAGGAAGCTCTCCGTGTTCTGCTTGAGCGCGCGTCCCAGCCTGGCCACGCTGATGAACTCGGGCAGGAAGATGGGCACTGTCGCTTCGGCCGCCGCCGCCAGCGCCTCCCGCTTCTGCCTCCTCTTCTTCTCCTCTCTACGCCGCTGCTTCTCCTGCCAGCGGTCCTGGCCGTCGTCATCCCAGTCATCGCGTACCCTGGCTGTGCCGTGTCGTGCCGATGGCGAGGCTTTCTTGCGGTCCGCCTTTTTCGAGCGTTTGCCGCTCGGGTCGACGTCGCTGCCATTGGTCTCATCGAAGCGTGACCTGCGTCGCGGCTGCTGTTCATCCTGCTGCTCGGGTGCTGTCGTCGCCGCGCTGATGCGCTTCTTCGAAAACTTGTCCACCCGATCCTCCATCTCGTCCCAAAAATCTTGGCCCTCTTGCACGTCAGACTTCTTCTCCTCCGTGGGGGCTATCTTCTTTGCCGCTGCCTTGTTCTTGTTCTTGCTGTCGCCGCTGCCGTTCTTGTTGTTCCCATTCTTGGCACTGCCTCTAGCAGCCTTGCGGTTCCCATTCTTGGCACCGGCAGCAGCATTGTCTTTGCCAAAGGTGCTCATCGACTCGTTGACCGTCGAAGCCTTGCGTTTGCTAAAGGCTCCCCATTTAGGCGCGGCATCCGCAGCAGGCTCCATATTTTCAGCCGGTGCTGGCACTGCAGCTCCGTCTCCAGACGCCGGTCTAGCAGGAGCACGACGACTCTGCTGACTCTTTTGGAAGATGTCGGCGAGTGCAGAACGCGACTGGTCAGCCTTTTCCTGGAAGTCGACACCCTGCTCTAGTCTTCGGCGAGGCTGCTCTTGACCCTGTCCCTGCTGCTTCTTCTTCTTCTTCATCTGCTGCTGCGTCTGCTTCTGTTGCTGCGGTGTCTTGGCGGGAGCCGGCGCGGCCGTCATCTTCTGCCTGGCCTCTCTCTCATGAGGGAGAAGTCCATCGGTCTGATTTGTGGCCTTTTTTAAGCCAAACCCTCCAAAGGAAGACGTGGCACCGCCTAGTCCTGCTGCTCGGCCAAAGGCACCGGGGAACTGGCTCGGCGAGGGAGGGAAGTTGTCGTCAGAGGTGCAAAGGAGTCGAGTCGTGGAGAGCTGGCGAGCGGCGGGGAGGTCATGTGCAGCGCCGAGGGGACGGCATGGCGTCAGGGGAGCTACAAGCTTGTTCCGGCAGAGACCACAGACGTACCGGTCTGTCTGTGCCTGGATCTGGTCAGTCTGAAGTCAGGACGAGGGCGACGGGGAGGGGTAATGATGATGATGAGGAAAGGAGGGAGAGAAGATGACGCACTGTCCATGCGCGAGCGCGTAACATGACTGGAGAGAGTATGGGAAAGAGAAGGGATGCCTGACAGAGTCGAAGCAGAGAGTTAAACGAGAGGACTCATTTGTGGCGATAGAGAGAGAGAGAGAGAGAGAGAGGAGGAGATTTGGTGATGGTGGAGCTCTCTACGTGATGAACGGGGAGTAGTACATGGTCATCTTCTTTTCGCGACTTTCTCCTGGGCGATTGGCCCCGAGCTTTTCCCGCAGGAAGTCTTTTGACATGACGGATGGAGGGGAAGGGGATATACTTATAGAGGAGACTGTATATTGCTATTTATTTCATCATGATACTTTTCTTCTTTTCCCTTCTCTATATTAGTTGACATCGAGCGGGAGTATGCATTCATGGGCGGACAAGATACCCACTGTTTCTTCCAGACCACAGTAATACTATACTCGTACATGTAGAAGCCAAGCTGTACTCTCTCTCCTCGCACCAAACAAGGAACAAGCACATTTCAACCTCGCACACAAGTGTTCCCCCCTCCCACCCGACCATGGCACCATCGAAAAAGACGACGGCGGGTAAGAAGAAGAATGGCGCATTCTCGGATGACAAGGCCAAGCGTACGACCGGGCCTCCGTCTCCCTTCAAGCGAGTGCCCGAGCAGCTCTCGGGCGTGACGGACCGCCTGTCACCCAAGCACGTCTACGTAGCGCACATTGACAAGAAGCCATCGTCATTCAAGCGCAACATATTCATGGTGCCCGTGTTGATGAACGTGGGCGTGGTGGCGCTCTTCTACCTGCGCATGCGACACATCGTGCCGTGGTACTTCCAGATCATGCTCTCGGGACTGGGCCGCGCCAACGAGACGACGTTCGGGGCGCACGAGGCGACATGGGAGGAGATTGCATGGGAGGTCGGACGTCGGGGGTCCACCTTCCTGATCGACTTCCTCCTGTTTGCATTCGTGTGGCCGTGGCCGGTCGAGTTCGTCGCGGGCACGACGCACGGCAACCCGGTCCGGTGGCGTCTCAAGGTCGGCTTCCGGTCAAAGGAGATTTACGTCCGGCGCAGCCGCGACTGGAGCGCGCTCCTGACGGGCGACATCTTCGAGGACGAAGGGTCAAACCGCATCCTGACGGCGTACATCGGCAAGGCCACGGCACCGCTGGTGCTGGAGCAGAAGACGGGCTACCTCCTCATGAATGGCGACTGGGATCTCGACTGGGAGGCCATGGTGGCGGCGCACCAGCTCGTCGACGACGGCAAGGTCGACATCGACACCTTTGCCAGCCTGGCCATCGTCCACCACCAGGACTACGGGTGGCTGTGCCACGACACGTCGGCCAGCGGCACCACGGCTACGGCGTCCGAGGACGAGAGGAGGCGCCAGGTGTTTGCCTTCAGGGATGCCCTGGTCTCGATGGGCAAGGAGAAGCTGTTCTACCGCTGGGTCGAGACTGTCCAGTTCGAGGCTACGCAGCCGGGAGGCTTCGGACCCGAGAAGCAGGAGGCGGCGGCGGCGAAGATCCGTGCCCTGTTCGAGGGAGAGGGAGTCGATTTTGACGGGCTCTGGAAGGATACGGTCGGAGGGACGCCGAGCATGTAAGAGGGAGGGAGGGAGGGAGAGAGAGAGTTGGCGAGTATAGAGTAATAGTATAGGGTATATTGTTGGACATTTGTGTGATAATTGTACGAGTATCAGACCTGGACATGAATGCGGCCTCGTGTGTGTACGGAGACTGCAGAGTGAGAGTTGACCTGTACTCGTACACTGGGTAATACGGAGTACAAGAGTCGAGACCAAATAGAGAATCTCGGGACGGGGAGACAGGATTCCCATGGACCATCGATAATACGACCATACGTGTATTGATACTCGATAGACGATAGTACAGCGATACAGACCGTATTACTGCTGCAGTCGGTTTACAGTGGTCGTGGGGATCGAGCTCCAGGCCGTAAGCCTAAGGTTACTGGTAGTTCTGGAATATGCCTGGAGCGGCTGCTTAGGTGCTATCATGGTAGGTATTACCTACACCAGTACGCTACAATGGACCCCGGGTACTAGTAATACAGGTACAGCGACGTCGCATCGTAGCGCGCATTGCAGGGGATACATCGCTGGGACAGCACTGGGACAGCACCGGGACAGCCCTGGAACTGGGCCTAGATATCATGAATGGATGGAAGTGCTGTAATACTTCTCATTACAAGTTATGAGTAATACTGCTCTTCTATCCAGAGTTAGTCGCTCCTTCTCTCTATCAATTCTCGCCGCTCCTTCTTGAATAGAAGAATGAATGCCCAAGGCCACAATGCCAGTCATCAGTCGGTCGTAATCTGAATATCCTCGTCCTCTCAATCACGACCTCAGCCTCGACCCTCCAACTCTTTTGCATATCAGCCTCAATCACACTCTACTCCAACGAACAACTAACGACGAAGCACTATTAGACCCTGCAACAACCGGGGACTGTACGGAAGATTTTGTGGACCTCTCATCTTCCCCCCCCCCCCCCCCCTCCCCCCGAAGAGGGACCCGAAAAAGGCCCAAAAGCTTGCTGCCAGGGCCCAGCAGGCGCAGGATTAATTCATTGCTGGCCCAATATTACTCTTCGTACTTGTCGTACTCTCCGTGACCGAGTTCCACACTCCCATCCATCCATCCATCTCTCCTCAACCCCTTCCCCTGGGCCCGAAAAAGAAAACCGATACTCTCCTACCCGCTCCCAGAGAGAGAGACAACCCCAACACTGAGAGCAAGATACCGACACACACGACACGCCCGGCGCCATCTCTTACGGAAAGCCAATTGACGGCTCAGCTCTGACCTCGCCCCTCACCGTCGTCTCCTATTTTTCTTCTTCTCTTTCATCTCTCGACAAAACATACGACCCGTGTACGCCGCGCGCAAACTCGACTGCAACGACTCCATATATCATCACTCTATCAGCCACTCCCCTGAACCGAGAGAAAGAGAGTGGACGGGAAATAAAACCTCTCGACCACATCCCCCTCTCCTTCCACCCCCCCCCCTTTCCCCCTTGCTCTTCCTATCCTCGACAAACACCGCTCCCGCAGACGACCAGGACGAGTAAAATGTCCTCATCAGGACTCACGCGACGTCGCGGAGCTGGCAGTGCCGCCCTAGCAGATGGCGATGCGAGCAACCAGCCCTCGCGCTCCAACTCGACGTCCAACAAGGACGACGGACCCGAGACGAGCTACGAAAGCGGCGAGAATGGACACAAGATCGCCTACGACCCCAGAGATATGAATGAGACGGTCGAGCGGAGCAAGCAGCCCAAGCTGACCATGATGGAGGAGATACTCCTTCTAGGCCTCAAGGATAAGCAGGTACTTATACGACCGGGGAATGAAGATGAAAGAAGAAGAAAATAAGACCAAGGGGGGGAAAGGGAAAGAGAAAGACTGACAAGCATAGGGCTACCTCTCCTTCTGGAATGACAACATCTCATACGCCCTGCGCGGCTGCATCGTCGTCGAGCTGGCCTTCCGAGGCAAGATCAGCATGGAGAAGGACCCCGCCAGACGACGCTTACCCCTTCCCGACCGCAACATCGAGGTCATTGACGAGACCATGACGGGCGAGGTGTTGCTCGACGAGGCGCTCAAGATGATGAAGCAGAGCGAGAAGATGAGCGTAGCTACGTGGATCGATCTGATGAGTGGTGGGTTGGCATCTCCTACTGTCCTACCGTATCGTCTCATCACCCGAAAAGGAAGACGAGGGAGAGACGGTGACGAGCGCCAAGAGACAGAGATGAGCTGACGTGACAACTCCCAACACAGGCGAAACCTGGAATCTGATGAAGATTGGCTATCAACTCAAGCAAGTGCGCGAGCGCCTAGCCAAGGGCCTGGTGGACAAGGGCATCCTGCGCACCGAGAAGCGCAACTTCCTCCTCTTCGACATGGCGACGCACCCCGTCGTGGACGGCGGCGCCAAGGAGGAGATTCGCCGCCGCGTCCGCAATGTGCTGACGCAGCGCACCGTGGTGCTCAACGGATCGCAGTGGCTGCCCGAGACGCTCGACTTGCGCTACCTGCGCACCCTGGCCATGGTCTGCGCCGCCTATGCCGCCAACGTTCTGGAGAATGCGCTGTCGACGCTGGGACACGAGGCCCGCGAGAGGGCCTTTGCCCAGACGGACGAGCTCCTGGCCGACTACAGCCAGTGGCCGTTTGGGAAGAAGGCTACGGGTAATGGGATCGGTGCCAACCTCCCTGCTGTAGTTGCCGAGGTGGGTTTATGCTCTACAGTCCTCTCTCTGATCTGCCATCCTTTCTTCCATGCACCTCTCTCTGCCTGATGAATGCGAGCTAACCCTGACGGCTAGGAAATCAACAACAACAAGGACAAGGAGCTCCAACTCGAAGTCGTCGCCGCCTGCCTCAACGTCTTTACCCGTCTCGACTCTCTGCTATAGACTCTCTGTCGGCTCTTGATTCGAACGAGACTTTCAATAAACCAAAACTCCCCCCCCCCCCCCTCTCTCCCCCCCAAAAAAAAACCTCCCTCCCCAACAATGGGGCACACATCGACTCTCCGGATTCCCTCCCTTCCTCCCCTCGTCTGATGATAGGTACACCTAGTCGATGGATGAGAACTGCTTTGTTCAAGAAAAGAAATAGGTGACAACGTATCTTGGGGCGCCTTCCTTTCTCTTTATATACTATTGCGGTCTATTGCTTCTCTGCCTCTTCTGATGTTTCTCTTTATATCTCGTTGCTCCTACTTTCTTTGTCCTCCCCTCTCTCCAACCCACCTCCTGTACGAGCAAAAGAAAAGCAAAAAAAATATTGGGATCCCAACGCATGACGTCTTTTTCTTCTTCTTCCTCTTCATATATGTATTCGAAAGGCGGGAGGTTTCAAGGTTACGAGGGTAAAAAAACAAAACTGGATCGGGGACAGAAAGAAGAATGAAGGGGATTTCATGTGTAACTATTGGCCTTTTTGGGTTCCCTGCTGGTTTGATGACCGGTTCCACCCGGGTTTAACTATTTTGATTCTTACAAGTTTTGTTCTTGTTCTTGTTTCTCGTTCTTGTCAAAATGCCACGTCTCTTCTTCTTCTCTTTCTTTCTCGGAGGTGGGGGTTTTTCTTTTCTTTCCTTTCCGCTTATTGTCTTGAGATGTTTGACAGTATATGCGGTGGTGTGTGTATGGTGTCTTGGTGGAGTCGAATTCATGATTGTCTGTGTGTAGTCCTGGTGTCTGTATCCTGGTGCCTCTCGTGTTTGCAGTATCATAAACCGGTAGTAGTAGTAATTAGTTATATGTATGCTGTATGCTTGTCTCTGAATGTACGTCGTCGTCATCCGTATCATGACCTGATATCGTGCATGATCGTTTTTGTCCGTGTCCTCCCTCCGCACGTTTCTCTTACGGTCTTCACATCATGTCCTTGATCGAGTCAGAAAGTAGAATGTAATGTGAGATTGAGGCATATATAAGTTTTTATTCCATTGGGGAAAAAAGGAAACGAAAAAAAAAAAAATTCTCTTTATTCATGGTACATGTATATCCCGCCAGTCATGCAACGCCAACCTCGTAAGCAAAGATGAACAGACAAGAGAAGAAAAGAAAAGAGATCTTCTTTCACCTTCACTTTCCTCCTCCGATACCCTCGAATCCAGGTCTACCCTTCTTCTTGGTCCCACCACTCTTGCTCTTCTTCCCTTTACCTTTACCCTTCTTGGCGGCGAGCTTGTCATCCCTCCTCTTACGGATATTGTCCTCCCTCTTCTTCTGCTTCTCGTGCTGGGCGTGGGCTACGCCCTTCTGCCGGTCCTTCCAGGCCTTCTCGCTCTTCCGCTTGAGGGCCTCCTTCCGCTTGACCGACTTCTTGAGCAGGGCCTCGTTGTCGTGCACCTTTACGCCCTCCGCGCGACGGCGGGCCGCGAGCCAGGCCTCCTTCTCGGCAACCTCCTTGCGCTTGTCCTCGTCCAGGTTCTGCAGCCGCTTCTTCTGGGCCTGGACCTTGAGGAGGGCCGTCTTGGGGTCGGACGGTCCCGGTCTCTTTCTGCCGTTGCCGCCGCCGTCGCGGAGCGTGTAGCTGAGGTCGTGCGAGAGCTGGCTGCCGTCTCCGAACGAGACCCGGCCAAAGGCCAGGTTGCCCGACCCGGTCCCGTCGTCCTCCCCGAGCTCCACGGCCGGCGACATGACGCTCGGCGAGTTGGTCGCCAGGGCCTCCTCGCGCAGGCGCTGCTCCTCCAGCTTGGCCGCCGCGCGGAGCTCCTCCTTGCGCGCCTTGCGCTGGAGCTCCTTGTGCCGTCGCGACTCGATCAGCTCCTGCCGCGTGCGGATCGGCTTGCCGTCCGGCCCGTCCGCTTTGCGCGCCGCTCGCAGCGCTTCGATCTTGGCCGCCAGCCGAGCCCGCAGCGCCGACGTGTCGTTGGGGATCTTGATGTGCTTCGGCTTGACGGGCGCATCTGCGGCGGATGAGACAGAGGTTGGTGCGCTGGACGCGTCGGCTGCATTGCTGTTGTCGTTGTTGTTGTTGTTGTTGTTGGGCGTGCCAGTGTCGAATGTCGGCGATTGAGGGCCTGATTCCGCTGATGCGCTGCCATCTTCCTCCTGCTGCTGTTCCTCTACGGTGGCTTGGTGCACGAGCTCGGGCTCGGGCTCGGGCTCGCCCTTGTCCTTGTTCTGATTCCGGTTCTCCTCGGCCGCCTCCCCCTCGGTGGCAGCCTCCTTCTCGGTGGCCGCCTTCTTCTTCTCGGCGGACTTCTTCTTGTGAGCAGGAGCGGCTTCTTTAGGCTCGGTCGTCTCCGTAGACTTGACCTCTGTTGCGGCCTCGGCCTTCTTGGCCTTCTTCTCCGCCTTCCTCTCTCTGCGCTTCTCCGCCCTGGCCGCCATCTTGGCCTGCTTTCTCGACAATTTGATCCTTTCTCCACCGACATCGCCGTCTTCGTCATCAACATCATCCTCCCATTCACCATCGTCTCTTGTCCCTCCGTCGCCTTCGTCATTCTTCTCTGTGTCGTCGTCGACGTCGGCATCGCGTTTCTGCTTCTTGTGCTGCTGATGATGCTCGCCCTTGTCCTTCTTCTTCTTCAGACCCTCGCGCGGCTTCTCGACGTTGATGGCCGAGTCGTCCATCTGTTCAGGGTCATTGTTGTCGCTGGCACCCCCGGAAGCGTCATCGGCTTCGTCGTCGTCGTCGTCGTCGTCGGAGCCGTCCTGGTCAACCTGTTCGAGTTTTCGCTTATTCTGGGCACGCTGGTCCATGACCTCCTTGGCGTTGCGGTTCAGCTGGCTGTCTGGGTCTAGCTTTGCGCGGCGGGCGGCCTTGGCCTCTGCTTTGCTCTGCTTCTTTCTCTTCCACTGATCTTGCTGTTGTCTCTGTGTTAGGCGTGCGTTCTTTGGGTGGAGATGCTGCCAGGCTGCCAGGCCGCCAGGCTGTGGTGAATAGAGAGAGAGAGAGAGAGAGGGAGGGAGGGGGGGGGAGAAGGACGTACAGCATTGTCTTCGCCATAGTACATCTTGGCGGGGATGAGACTGAGCAGGCCATCGAAACCAGAGGCCTGAGCCTGCAATCGGTCCTGTAATGACGTCTCCTCGTCAGATTCTTTCCATCGGGATTCTGAATCTCTCATCGGGTCTGACTGAAAAAATCCTGCGGGGTGGGTATGGGATGGAGCATACCTGCAGTAACCTGTTTTCGGACATAATCTATGCTAGACCTTGATCCCCTTCTAGTATTTACGGGTGAGCCAGAAGAATATACAAAAGACGACAGAAAGAGTGAATGCGATAGGTACACGGCCGTCGTAGAGGAGGAGGAGGCTCTGATCTGATGCCGTGTCCTGCCGGTGATGGGTTACCAAAAAAAAAAAAAATTTGGGAAAAAGATGGACTGTGGATTTGGTAATAAAAAAAAGAAGGCGGTGGGCAATTTTTTCCCTTCTTATTTTTTCTTTCTCTTCTTTTTTTCTTTTTCTTTCATGCCGCTACGGAGACTGGTAGAGGGACTAGTGATACAGGGACTGATACAGGGACCGGTACAGGGACTGGTGCAGATTACAGGGACCGGTATAGTGTATTATAGTGGGTGGCATAGTGGGCTGTACTTGGCTACACGGACTTACTAACACTCCCCGCTGATGGCTTACGGGGTCATCGGCCATCATCATCAATCAGATGCTCTCACGCGACAGACCTGACGTCTCATATTTCGGAGGTGCCTCTTTTCCTGTTCCTGAGAGGATCCATCATTCGATTTCCTCGCCGTAGTTACAGTTTCACTCAGCATCGCCTCCCCACGCTTCACCGTCCGACCTCGCACTTCTAGATCAGATACGAGTACACGGTGCAGCTACAGCAGTCACGGACTCATCAGTAGGCAGACGGCCGTAGACGATCAGGCACTCGTCCCTGCGATGCTCTGAGCAATTCTATATGCTTTGCTGCGTACAGTTCTCGGTATGGGACACGTGAACCCCTCACTTCTTCTTGGACCCCTTCTTCCCAGCGGCAGGCTGACGCTTCTTGTTCAGAGCCGCCTCCAGCTCAGCCCGACGAGTCTTGTCGGCCTCATCCTTTTCTTCCTTTTCGACCTGCTTGTGTGTCAGTGATGCCCCGTACGCTCTTCTCCTCATCTCCTGGTATATGTAGCCCGACGTGGAGAGCTGGATGGGTATAGGATCGGAGAAGGAGGACGGCGAGAACCCACCTGTCGTCTAGCAGCCTCGGCAGCCCTCTGCTCACGGATCACCTTGAGACGGGCCAGATCGGCCTTGGCCTCGTCCGTCTTCCCCTGGGCCTGTAGCCTGAGGTACCTCTCCCTGGAGGCGGCAGCCTCGACAGCCTCCCTCTCGCGTCTCGACAGGGTGCTCAGATCCTTGACGCCCTTGGTCAGGCCCTGGACGCCCGAGTCGCCCTCGCCTGGGTCGTCGTCGCCGTCGCCGTCCTCGTTGCGCGGCGCCGCGGCCTTGGCGGCCTGCTCGCGAGCGGCTCTGGAGTGGTTGGGGTTGGCGGGGAGGCCAGGACCGCCGGCAGCCTCGTCGTCGTCCTCGTCGCTCTCGTCCTCGTCGCTGGTGGGGAGGTCTCCCACCTGGACATCCTTGGCCTTTTGCCTGGCCAGGGCGGCCTCCTTGCGGGCCTTCTTCTGGGCTTTGCGGTCCTCGCGCGTGGCGGCCTCCTGGGCGGCCGCCTGGGCGGCCGCGACGGCCTCCTTGCCGCCGTCTCCGCTCTCCTCCTCTTCCGAGTCCTCCTCTCCGTCTTCTTCCGAGTCGGAGGAGCCGTCGTGGTCTCTGCCCTCCTCGGCCCACATGCTCACGGCGTTACCGTCGTCGTCTATGGGCTGGAGGTCTCGGGAGAAGTGGTGGCCGCCTGTGCTCGGACGGTCAGTCAGCTCAAGACGCGGAGATGAATGAGATTAGATGGAGAGATGAGTAGTAGATTCATCGGGTCGAGTGAAGAGAGGTGGCTGGTGGACTTGCCTCCTCGAGTGTACTTTTTAAACTTGCCACCACGGCCACGGGTAGACGTCGCACCGCCGGGAGCCATGCTGTTGAAGTGAAGAAGGTACGGCGAGGATGGATATATGACGAGAACAGGTATGGGTACGAGAATGTCGGAAAGCGGGCGGAGTGGGTGGTTCAAGCCGCGTACAGAGCGATGTGGACGCTGACGCTGGGGCTGTTACGGACGATGATGATGGTGTTGGTGCTGTGAATACTCGTAGCAGGGGAAGAAAACAGACGAGGCGGGGTAGCGGGGTAGAAGGCAGTGACTTGTCGCCGCAATGCGACAGACGAGAGAGGACATGTACAGTCGAAATTTCGGGGAATGGTATTCGGGTTGCTCCTATCTGCGTATTGACATCTACATGTATCATACTTCAATCATCAGCATCGTTCATCATCACATGACGGTGTATCGATCCAAACCACCCTCCTCCTCCATTCACCTCTATTCATCTCTAGCTGGGAGGGCCTGTAATATAGACGTGATGACTTAGACCGGCAACCATGCCCACGACCAACGTACATCATCCTCAGAGTCCCACTACAGATAGTACCCCCAGCAGCAGAGTCCCGATAGCAAGCCCATAAAAGTCCAATAGCAGAGCCCAACAGGATCCAGTAAATACCCGGTACACTCCTCTACGGGTCCAATCACAATCGGTCATGACTATGCGTATGAGCAGCTGCACGGCCCAGCACGGCCCAGCATGGCCCAGCATGGCCCAGCATGGCCATCGCTGACTACCACTACAACGAGTGTACAGATTACTTCTTGTACTGCTGCCAGTATGACTAATAGCATCGATATATTCTATAGAGTCGTCGACATAGTCATACATGCTATAGACAAGTCATGTTACTATCCATACCATTCAAAGCTATTGCCACCTAGTACTCTCAACATCTCGTCCTCGGCTCCCTTATCTGTAGCTACCAATGATACCGATATCGCAGTCCATAAATCTCAGATAATCATTGTTTGTACTACACGTGTACGGTGTATTATCGATATGGGCCATCTTGCCTGTCCAGATCCCAATTCCCCCCCCCCCACCCTTCCCCTCCCCTGCACAGCCCCTACCAGCCACAGATACCGGATTATNATTCCCCCCCCCCCACCCTTCCCCTCCCCTGCACAGCCCCTACCAGCCACAGATACCGGATTATTGTCCCTCCACATTCCGGATCCTCCCCCGATACAAAACCAGCTTCTTCCCTCTCCTCTCTTTTCCCTTTCTCTTCTTTCCTTCTTCAACCTACTAGAAAATTTTTAAATTCCTTCAAATTCACTCTGACGTTCCTTTTTCAGTGGATGATCTGGAGGGGAAACTGGAGGAGAAAGCAATCCCTTACCGTCATTCTTACCCTCTGTCCTATCTCTGCGTTGATCCTGACAGGTTACGCGTTGGGTTCTGGAGAAATTTTCTTGGCGGTACATTCCCATTGCAGGAGGTTGATGCTGCTTTTTGCTTCTTCTCTGCGTCTCCTGCCGTTGGCATTCTTCTATATACTCGTACACTCATACCGACAAGCTCGTAAAAGATGTGCCCTCCCCTCCCCCCTCTACATCATAGATCCTAGCATATCTCCCATCTTCCTCTTCCGTCCCCTCATTCCACCACCACCACCACCGTTCCTCCCCCTTGTCTCGACCTTGGTCGACTTGGGCAGGACATGACCCTCGGGTACAAACGCCTCTCTCACCCCCCACTTCCGACGAGTCCACAAGAATTGTTTCGTACCAGTCGGCCAGCGTCGTCGTCGTCCTCCTGATCGTCGTCGTCCGTCTGGTCCCAGGATGAGGGTAGCCGTCGGCCTAGAGGGCAGCACGAACCTGTCCGCCGTGGCCTGAAACGCCGGCCGCCGCTCTTTCAAGTCCGCATCCCCTCTCACCTGCCCTATCAGTGCGTACATCCAGAAGGCCCAGGCCTCGGAATCAGTCGCATCTATCATACCTCGGACCGTACGTGGAGCTTCATCTGCCGCCGCCGCGGTGGCGGGAGCATCGACCAGCCTGAGAGCCTCTCCGTAGTCGACGAAGCGGACCGTCGCACTTCTCGACGGCTCGCCGTCGCCGTCGCCGTCGCCGTCGTGCATGTACGCCGATACCAACTCCCGGTCCACCCGGTTAGCCGTGTTCCCGTCCATACCAGACTGCCACTTCCGAGACACGTCAGCGGCCGTGCCGGTAGCGGCAGCGTCAGCAGCGACGAGCTGCTCGACCAGACTGGCCTCGTCGCCCGACGGCATGAGCCGCTCCCACTCGCCGCCGTCACCGGCTACATCGGCCTCGGACTCCCAGCTCTCCGGCTTACCGAGCACGTCGTACACCACCAGGGCGGGGAGCGCGGCCACCCAGCGCAGCGACTCGCGCGTCGTCGTACCGACGCCCCACACGCGCAGCACCCTCAGGCGGGGGAAGGGGTCCTCCTTCTCCGCCCACGCGCGCACGAGACGGTCCGTCAAGGGTGGGAACGTCATTGCCGCCGCCGCTGCCTCCTGATCTGCCCCGTCGCCGTATTCGTCGTACTCGGACGAGGAGAACGACGTTGTCGAGGAGACCGTCCCGTCCACTGGCCGGATGACCTCCAGGATACCCAGGTTACGCATGTCGGATAGGCACATCATCTCCCTGACGGAGAAGCCGCACCTGCCGCTGAGGACGAGGTGCGTGACGAAGTCGAGCGTCGGCGACTCCAGCGGCTGCGTGTAGTGGGACAGGGGATGCGTCGGTCTGGCAATGTGCTCTCTGTAGCGGTACAGGCCCAGTGGCTTGTCCTCCGGCTTGCCTCCCTTGACGTCGGCTCGGAGGAGGGATCTGGACAGGAGCTTCCATGCGTGCAGGCACGGTCCTCTTGGGTTTTGTTTTCTATCGTTACTATTTAGTATAAACACTTTGTTATTTCAACTACTGCAGAGTCATGTGGCAGTAAGATCACCATTAAGGGTTGGGGGCGGGGGGAGCAAAAGAAGAAGAGGAGAGGAGAGAGGAAACGAATGTACCTTGACACGAGAAAGTTCCATACGAGCCACTGCACTCGCGACGGCATCACGTCAATGTGCTCCTCTGTCACCTGGCCAATATGTCTTGCTGCGGTGCGCGTCGCCAAACACACCAGCGATCGCACCTCTCTCCTCCTCGGCCAGCGACGGTCACCCTTGACGTCGTCATGACTGCCGCCGCGCGACCAGTCGACGTCCCCCTTGTGGGGAATCAGAGTGCGACGGCCGACGGTCCATTCTCGAAAGACCTGGCCGGATGACTGGTCAAGAGTTGGACGCATTTGTCTCCTGATGTTTTGGTGATGTCGGCAGTGGCGCGTCGTATGAGAGATTACAGTATTATTACGTAGTATCATTACACGGTACTCCGTACAGATTACTTGGTGGTATTATATTATGACTACGTGTATCCGTACTCGTACGTAGCATAATACAGTATTAATACTGTAGTCATTAGTATAATTTTTTATATAAAAAAAACAACAACAAAAAACAACAAAAAAAAACAGGAAATACCCAGCTATCCCATCCCACTCATACGAGAGTAATCATCACCCTTCTTCATCCCCATTGTACCCGTTATATTCTTCACATGTCCCTCTCATACCACTACGTCATAGACTTCAAATCACCAGAGACCTTGAACGGAGCTTCTGTCTTGCTCTTGATCTCATCAACCGTGATACCTTCAGCAATCTCGACGAGGGTAAGGCCCTGCGTGAAGTCGACATCGAAAACGCCCTATAGATCAGCTGGGTTAGTTATCTTCTATGACGATTTATAACAGAAACCAACCAACCAACCCCCCCCCCCCCCCCCCCCAATCCCAAGACTCCACAGACAGGAGTCAAGCCGATGTGTTGCAAGATGGGCAGTTGAGAAGAAAGAAAAAAAGGTGTCTGTGCTTGGAGGAAAGGGAGGGGGGGGGGGGGGGGGGGGGGGGGGGGGGTGTATACAAGAGGCTGAATAGGCGAAGAGGGAAGAGGGAACAAGAAAAGAGAAGAGAAGGGAACAGAGAAAACTAACCAGCTCGGTGATGATCCTGGACACACAAGCACGTCCCGTCAGCGGAAAGGCACACTGCCTGACAAGCTTGGCATTGCCCTTCTTATCGGTATGCTCCATGGCGACGACGACCTTTGTAGCGGAAGGGTTGCTGACGAGGTCCATGGCCCCCCCGAAGCCCTTGACCTTGCCCGGGAGCATCCAGTTGGCCAGGTCGCCGGTGGCGCTGACCTGCATGGCCCCGAGGATGGTGAGGTCGATGCGGCCGCTGCGGATCATGCCGAAGCTCTCCTCGCTTCCGAAGACGGCGGCGCCGGCCCTGAGCGTGACCGTCTCCTTCCCGGCGTTGATCAGGTCCGGGTCCTCCTGACCCCTGCGCGGGTACGGGCCCAGGCCGAGGATGCCGTTCTCCGACTGCAGCTGCACCTCCACCTCCGGGCCTACAAACGACGGGGCGAGCATGGGCATGCCGATGCCCAGGTTGGCGTACATGCCGTTCCTGAACTCCTTTGCGGCGCGGCGGACGATGCGCTCCCGCCTGGCCGCCGTCTCACCCGTCCCCAGAGCTGCCGCCGCGGAGGGGGGAGGCTTCTTCCCATTCCTCTCCTCCCCTTCTGCCTCTGCACCTTCCTCCTCCTCCGTCTCCTCCCTGGCCCACGTGTACTTCTCGATACCCTTCTCGGCCGTGCTCTGGATGACGCGCTTGACGTAGATGCCCGGGAGGTGGACTGCCTCCGGGGGGATCTCGCCCGGCTCGACGATGTGCTCGGCCTCGACGACGGTGACGCGCGCGTTGCGTCCCATGGCGCCGTTGAAGTTGTGCGCCGCCAGCCGGAACTGGCAGTTGCCCAGCCTGTCGGCCTTGTAGGCCTTGACGAAGGCGTAGTCGCCGTCGATGCTGTGCTCGAGCAGGTAGGGCTTCCCCTTGAACACCTTGACGTCCTTCGGGTACGAGAGCTGGTCGGGCGACCCGTCGGCCTTGTTGCGCAGCGGCAGGTCGCCCGTCTGGACCACCGTGCCGAACGCCGCGGGCGTGTAGAAGGCCGGGATGCCCCGCCCGCCCGCCGAGCACCGCTCCGCCAGCGTCCCCTGCGGCGTGAGCTCCAGCTCCACCTCCCCCGTCAGGTACATCTTCTCGAATGTCCTGTTCTCGCCAATGTAGCTGGCAATCATCTTGCGGATCTGCCTCGTCCTGAGGAGCTTGCCCAGCCCGTGCGTGTCCGTGCCCGCGTTGTTGGAGACGGCCGTCAGGCCCGTCACCTCGGGCTTGTTGATGACCTCGTCGATCAGCGTGTCCGGCACGCCGCAGAGCCCAAACCCTCCGCACAGGAGCGTTGTGTTGGCCTTCATGTCTTGGAGCGCCGACGCCGCCGACGGCAGGACCTTGTTGATCTCGGCCCGGCGCAGCGTGGCTGAGAAGGACCGGGTGAAGGAGATGGGTGTGGGCTGTGTGTGTGTGTGTGTGTGTGTGTGTGATTGTTGCTGGTCAGGTCACATTCAACCCTGTCTACACCAAGAGTCTGGTTTATATCATGATTGTGGTACAACTCACACCGGAACCGTGACGGAGAAAGACTCGAGCCGTCTTGATGCGCGTTACTAGCGACGGTAGCATGGCTGCGGATGATGCAAGTACCCTAGAGTACACCTGTAAAGCAAGACACGAGATTAAAAAAAATTGATGAGATGAAAAGATGGAGAGAAAGAGGGTGAGTGAGAAGGGATGAGGGGCTCAGGGATGGGAAGAAGAAGGTGAAGGCGGAGGAAGGGAGAAATGGCGAGGGGAAAGAGATGAAGAGCCGTCGTGGTTGGGATCGTCGTAAGACCCAGACCCCAGACCCCAGACCTCAACTCCGATTGACATCTTCGGCCAACTCGAAGCCGTGGCTTGCCGCCCGGTCGGAATTGAGTTCCGCCTTTCCTCTGTACCGGTTACATGATGCATCGGCTCGGCAATGTTGAACGGCAGGCTTGAACTGTGCATGTGGGGGGGAGGAAGGGTTGGCTAACTACGAGACTACGCCGAGACTCTTTCATCTGGTTACATGTATTTTATTCGATTCTTCATCATACTCCTCAAACACATCCTCCCCTTCATTCTCTCTGCTGGCCCCGAATGTTCGAGTACACCGACTGATACACTAACCCCGCCCGTCTTCGGATCGGATGCATCCGTATGCTTGCACCTCGCGAGACTCACCCCCTCGGAATACGCATAGGAGGACTTGTTGATTATAGATCAACACCTTTGTAGGCCTTCTCCCACATCTCATAATATTCTCGTCAATCACACTCCGCAACGAGTTGGTCTCCGCAACGAGTTGGAGTCTGGGGTACAAACAGTCATTACGGGCATGCATCCGGATGACCTCTTATCCGGACGAGACCGAGGGCATGTATCTGTCTTATTACACTTAGCCGGGCGTCTCAACGTCTCGCTCATCTGTCGTTTCCTATATCCGCACCATCATGGGGGGTTTTCTATTGTAATCGGTCCACCATCTTTCTCTCGTGAGTTTTGAATAGCACCATCTCAATGATACTTCAATCGCAAATGACACATGCTCCGATCGTTTACAGTAGAGGTCATTGCCGAGACCAACTTCAGATCGGCACTTTTGGGTACCCTATACTCTCAAACTGCTCAAGCTGCGGCAGCATTGTATGCCTTGTTCCTTCTCTGTTGTTTGATGGAGGTTACTATATCATGTGGTTGTCAAAAAATATATATCTAGAATGTTGGCTATGTATTACGACATCCGGATGTTCCTCCTCTTCTTGTTGTAGAGTCGTGTGTAAGCTGATCAAAGGTGAAGAGTCAAAGGTGAAGAGTCCTTCCCTGTTGCGAATCACAAGTGAGCACCGAGCACCGAGGAGAGAAGAAGAAGAAGAAGTAGCTGTCGTGAGAAGCTGTATCTGAATAAGATGATAGAAACAATACATAAAACTCCCATCACAACTGCTACTTGGGGATTAAATATCTTCATAGTACCAGTAATAGTATCCAATGATGTTGTGCTCACCACTTCACAAACATCACCCCGCTTATCTTATCGCCCCGCGATCAAGATAAGATACGAAAAAAATAAGGAAAAAAAAAAAAAGTTCATCGCATCTTTTCTTTACATACCTGGACATCCACCACCAAGACCAAGACCAAAACGACCCGAGAAAAGGTCTTTACAGACCCTGAGTCCTTTTATTTCCCACCGAAAATGGACTCCGGCTCCGGCCCTAAGCGTCGTAAGCTCGACCACTCGAGCTTCGCCCTCCGTCATGCCGCCCTCATCGATTTCGAGTCCCGCGATGCGGCCCGCATGTCCACGGCCAGCATGTTCACTCTGCAGACCGACGAGCTCCTCAAGGGTTCCCGCGTGGACTATGCCAAGGTCTTGGACGGGGTCGACACTCTGCTTCACCGTCTGAAGGGTGTCATTGACTCTATACCTGCTCACGAGGCCGTTCCCGTAATGCTCTTCTTCCTCTCTTCCCCTCCCACTCTCCCAACCCTCTCGTCATTCGCCTCACACACATATATATATATATATATATATCCTTGGGAGCTTCAACTGACAGACGCATATAGATCTCCGAAGCAACGCCCGAGTTCGAGAAGAAGCACAGCATCTCGATCCCCTACCCCGACCCGAAACCGCCCAAGGACGCGCCCTACAAGCTCGCCTTCGACAGCCCGGCCCAGTGCAACGTCGTGGGCAGCTACGTCTCGCGCACGATGGTCAAGACCCAGACGGCCTTCTCCGTCGACATGGTGGTGCAGATGCCGCGGTCCCTCTTCCAGGAAAAGGACTACCAGAGCATGCGCTACTTCTACCGTCGCGCATACTACATCGCCTACATCGCCGCCCATCTCCGCAAGGAGCTGGGCGACCACGTCGACGCCGAGTACTCTCTTCTCCACGACAACAGTCTGCTTCCTATCCTCGTTCTCCGCCCCCGTCCTGCTGCTGCTGACGAGGAGGACGATGAGGGAAAGAAGGAGGAGGAGAAGAAGGCGACGAAGAAGACAAAGGCCAAACCTTACACTGTTCGCATCATCCCCTGCGCACCAGAGGACCTGTTTCCCCCGTCCAAGCTCACGCCCACGTCGGCCAACAATGCCGACCGTCAACAGGCCGGTATCGGCAAGGAGAAGGAGAAACGCGCGAGTCCGTTCTACAACTCTACCCTCAAGGCGGAGAGCACCTTCATCACCTACCTCCGGCTCCTGACCAAGGCCAAGACGGACTGCCCGTCCTTTGCCGACGCTTGCCTGCTGGGCCGGATATGGCTCCAGCAGCGCGGCTTCGGCGGCCCGGTGTCGCAGGGGGGTTTCGGCCACTTCGAGTGGGCCGTCATGGTGGCCCTCCTGCTCCGGTCGGGCGGGCGCAACGGCAAGGCTGCTCTGTCCAGCTCCCTCAGCAGCACCGAACTTTTCAAGGCCGTAATCCACTTCCTCGCCGATACCGACCTCACCAAGAAGCCGCTCATCCTAGGCGGTGGCGCCGCCGCCGCCGCAGCGGCCGCCGAGCCGGGTGGCAGCCCCGTCGTGTATGACTCGTCGACCGCGCTCAACATCCTGCACCGTATGACGCCTTGGTCCGCCGGCCTCCTCCGCACCCACGCCCGGTCCACGGCCGACCTGCTCGCCGACGAAGCTGCCGACAAGTTCGCCCCCATCTTCATCATGCGCGTCAACGTGTGGTCGCAGCTCTACGACTCCGTGTTCGACATCGACTCGCCCGACATGCTCGTACCTACGGCGGCATCGTCCGACTCGCGCGGACCCGTATGGGACTACGCGTCGGGCGTGTACAAGGTCCTCAAGAGGGCGTACGGCGACCGTGCCGAGCTGATCAACATCCAGCAGCCGGGAACGGCATGCTGGTCCCTCGGGGGGACTGCGTCTTCCCAGCAGCAGCAGCAGCAGCGGCGGCGCCGGCGGCTGGTCGTGGGTGTCATCTTCAATGCGCACAACATGCCCCGACAGATGGAGCGCGGCCCGCCTGCAGAGGAGCAGCGCGACGCCGCGCGTTTCCGGCAATTCTGGGGCGACAAGGCCGAGCTCCGACGCTTCAAGGACGGCAGCATCCTCGAGTGCGTGGAGTGGACGGGCCGTCAGGCCGTGGACATATGCGAGGAGGTGACGCGGCACGCGCTGGCACGGCACGTCAAGCTGACACACGACGAGGTGTCGTTCCTGGGGGGCTCGCTGTCGTCGTCCATCATCGCCCTGTCTCACCTCGACAAGCCGGCCTTCGACGCGGCGCGCCAGGCCTTCCAGACGTTCGAGCACGACGTGCGTAGCCTCGAGGATCTGCCGCTGCAGATCCGCCAGCTGGCGCCCGTGTCCCCGCTGGCGCGGTACACGTCGATCCTACCGCCCATCCCGGGGGCGGCCTTCGCCGGCGGCTTCGAGCCCATGGACGTCAACATGTACTTTGAGGTGTCGAGCCGGTGGCCCGAGAACCTGATCGCCATCCAGGAGACCAAGATCGAGCTCCTGCTCGACCTCGACCGCCGCCTAACCTCGGCCTATGACACCATCACCACCTTCCTCGGCCGCGACGACCGCGCCATCGACTCCGAGGCAAACCTGGCCTACCTGGACGTCGTGTACGACACCGGCGCCGCCTTCCGCGTGCGCATCTACAGCGACGTCGAGGAGACGCTGCTGGAGCGCCGCGTCAGGAACCGCTCCCTGCAGGGCTACGTGCGCGACGCCGTGCAGGACAAGCTCCTCGCCTTCAGGTGGGACCACTCCACCGCGCCGCTGCACACCCAGACCGTCGCCACCTTCTGCACCAGGCTCCCGGCCCTGTCCCCCGCCATCCGCCTGGCGAAGCAGTGGTTCAGCAGCCACAAGCTGTCGGCCCACGTATCCGACGAGGTCATTGAGCTGCTCGTGCTGTCCGTCTTCCTGTCTCCGTACCCGTGGGGCGTCCCCTCGTCCGCGTCGACCGCCTTCCTGCGCACGCTCGACTTCCTGTCTAGATGGGACTGGCGCGAAGACCCCCTCATCCTGAACACCTCTACGACTGACAATGACGACGGTGACAACGAAAACAACAACAACAACAACAGCGGTAGCAACGAGGACCGCCGCGCATCCATCCGCCGCGACCTGGAGACGTGGCGCAAGCGCGACCCAAACATGAACAACCACGCCGCCCTATTCATCGCCACATCGACCAGCCCTTCTGGGCAGACGTACACGCGCAACGGCCCGTCCAGGCTGGCCGCCTCGCGCATGACGCGTCTCGCCCGCGCCGCCTGCTCCCTCCTGCGGGACCGGGACGTCCGCCTCAACGTCACCTCCCTCTTCGAGCCTTCCCTGACAGACTACGACGTCCTGTTTCACCTGTCGCCCAAGGCGATCCGATCCGTCATGCGCTCCGCCTCCGGCGCCTCTCGCACCACCAGGTCCAAGCACCAACAGCAACAGCAGTTCAAGAACCTCGCCGGCAGCGCCGCCTCGTCGTCGTCCCCCACTCTTATGCCAACGAGGGACCACCCGGTCAACGTGCTCCTCTCAAGACTCCGCGACATCTACGACGACACCATCATCTTCTTCCACGGGAGATTCGACACCGACCACCTGGACGAGTACGACTGTGTAGTTGCCGCCATCTGGAATCCCAAGTTGCGCACTCAGAAGTTCAGACCTGGCCTGTCGTATAACTTTGCTAGGGTCGGGGATGGCGTCGACGCTGACGGCGATGTCGTCGAGATTAATCGACCTGCTGTCTTGTTGGAGATTGCACGGATTGCAGGGGATCTGATTTCCGAGATTGAGGTTGTCGCTGATGATGATGAGGAGGCAGAGGACGATGATGAGTAGATTAGTTGTATTACAAAAAAAAAAAAAACACGGGAAAACGAAAAGTACATATTGGAAATGAAGTATAATAAGAAAAAGCCATTCAAGATAAAATGCACTCAGAAATCTCCAAATAACTAAAAAGACTAAAAGGTGAAAAGAAAAAAAAACGCCATGCCATGACACCTGTTAGGTATACAAAGACCTCTTTTAACCATAAACATTACCATGTTGCCACCTCCCTCCCCCCCCTCCCCCTCGTCCCCTCCCACCATACATCCATCATGTTGTGCTTGGTATCGAGGTAGTGATAGCGATACTGCTATCTCACCTCCTTCCGAACAGCCTGCTGCGTCGAAAACGAGCAGAATCGATCCTTGATAGCCACAACCTCGTACGTACCCTCCTGACTAGCCTTGACCACCTTCTGGTGATCGTACGACACATCGTGTCTCGTCTCGAGAATCGTGCTCTTCTGGCCTCTCTGCGCATTTGAGCTACGCGTGTACGTAAACTCGAACGGAGGTGTGCCCCAGAAATCAAACACCATGTCCACCTCGCCTCCCTCGTGGATGTCCACGCGAGACTGCTTTCCTTGGCTGATCTGCACGCTGGGGAGAGGGTGGATCGTCTTGGGCAGCTTAACGGCCGCGCGGCACTCGCTCGCCTTGTCCGCCACGCTGGTGATGGTGAACTCACCCGGCTTTTCGGCCACGCGGCGGAAGCTCGTCGTCTGCGACTTGGCGTTCCACCGGCCGTTGAAGTCGTACGTCACGTCAAATGGAGGCGTGCCGGACAGGGTGTAGGCGATGCGCTCGCCCACGCAGTAGTCCTGTCGGGATTCGAGAGGGTATATGGACGGCGCGTCGTAGAGCTGGATCTGCACGGACGGGCCGCCCACGTCGTACTTTTGCTGGCAGCCGCGCGCATCGCGGACACGTCGGATTCGGATGTGCTGGCTGCCCAGACGCAGGTGCTGGCGCGGGATCTGCATGCTGAACGACTTGGTGTTGATTGATGGGATGCTGTATGTTTCGGGCGCCATACCGGCTTGGTGTTTCACTTCGATCTCCACGTAGAACGGGGCCACGCCGCTGAGCTTGATCGGGATCGTATCCTCGTGCTCCTGCTCCTCGGTGCAGAACTTGAACGACTGTCCCGGCTTGGCAAACGAAGCTGCCGGCTTGGCGTTGACATGTTGCTGCACTACCAGCGGGTTGAACGACTTGTCCATGTTGTACAGGTTATCGGCCAGTCCGTGAAACTTATACGTGTAGTCGCCCGCCTTGGTCGTGTCCATTGAGATGGCAGCCTTGGACAGAGCCGCGTCGAAGCTCTTGCGGCTGAGCGACCCAGAACCGGATGTGGGCTTGTGCTTGACTTCGTACTGAACATGGTAAGGGGCGGCGCCTGTTGTTTGTGTGTGTTAGTCTGTGTGCGAGCAATATGACGGTGGCGTATAGCGCCGAGGTCTCTTTTTCGCTGCTTACCTTGAAGACTGACTTCAAATCCATCAATGTCTCCCTCGCAAACGTCTTTCTTGACAAAGACATTGCCGGCGCTGGCCACCGCACTCTCGGACTCGATCAGGGACAGCTGGGGCTTGGGGAACCAGTCGACGGCAAAGGTGGACGCAGCTGTGTCGACCATCCCGGGACACTGGTTGTCCCAGACGCTGGTGATCTCCCAGATGCCACGCGACCGGATGAGGAGGTGGCCGTTGGGACTGTCAAGCGACTTCTCAACCGGCGAGCTGCTGCTGTCGTTGAGATTGCGGTACTGAACCTTCCAGGGTCCCTCACCCTGGAGCCGCAGCGGCAGGCGGATCGGCGTGTCCTCAACGGCCATGATGGAGCGGGTCTTATCCAGCACGCCAAAGGCGGCTCTGGGCCTCTGTCGGCGGACTGCAATCTTGAGCTGGTCCTGGAGGAAGGTGCGGCAGCCGCGAATGTCTTGGACGCTGCTCAGGGCGAGCACATACTCGCCGCCCTTGGTGAGAGTAGGTGTCTTGATCTTGTAGCTGCGGTCGTAGATATCGGCGACGCGTTGGGTCTGGCGGCGCCCCTCGTGGACGAGCTCCCACTCAAGCGTAAACGGAGGGTCGCCAAACATGTACACCTCCGTCTCGACCTCGGACTCGAGGCATGCGCTAATGACTCTATCGTGGGACGCTATGAGGGCAGAGGCTGCGGGCTTGACAACCTGCTCGAGAGTCTTGTCGTCACCGGTGACGGGTATGTTCTTGTAAACGTCGTCGTCGACAGACCTGAAGGTGTACTTGTGACGCCCGGCCATCTTGGGAACAAACTCGAGCTGCGACCTAAGCCCACGCACCGTGTGACTCCGTTTCTCCACCTCGCCGTCGTCGTTGGTAATGTCGTAGTGCACAATGAAGGGAGGCGTGCCGACAAGATCTAGGTCTACGCGGAGACCGATCGAGTTGCCCGCACACTTGTCTGAGATGTCCTCGGTCCTGATGGACAGGTGAGGCTCGAGAGGGTTCAGAACCAGGCACGATGACGGCTCCTCAACCTGGCCATCGCAGCGACCGCTAGTAACGGACTTGAGCGTGTACAGGCCGGGCGCGGATACCATGGGGCGGTCCCGAGAGTTGCGTGCCGTGTGACTGCCGTGCGAAACCTTATCTCCGTGATCTCCGCTGCTAGTCAGGGAATCGATGGGAGAAAAGGCCCAGCTGATCTGGTGGGACGTGTCGGCCAGCTGGCCGGCCATGCTGAAGCTGACGGGAAGAGGTGCGGTGCGGTCCTTGGCGATCTTGAGGGCGTTTCTGAGGTCGCATCCCTGCATACGGATCTTGGGACGCTCCTTGACGGTGAACTTGTGAGCGAGGGCCGATTTCTTGTCGTCTTCTGGCACGTCGTATTTGACAACGTTGCCGAAAGCGTCGTGGACCTCGTCGACCGTGTACTCCCAATCACCAGAAGAGGTCATTGACTCGTTCAACCCGACGAAGACTTTGCTGGGACGTACCCAAGTCATGTCCTGACCGTCTTCAGGGGCAGCTGAACCCAGTAGGGGTGAGGAGAAGCCGTCCGGCTGCAGGCTCTGGAAGTGGAAACTGTGGTTCTTGCCGTTGATTGTGCGACTATACACGATCTTCAACGGCGGCACACCGCTTACCTCGAGCGACAGATCAGACAAGTCCTGGACGCAGCGATCGTCAGAGAGGGTGCTGAGAATCTTGGCCTGCGGGCAAGGGACGACGTAGGTGTCCTTGTTCGACCTCTGCACCTCGAGCTTGTACTCGTCCAGAACCTTTCCGAGTCGGTATATTCCGGGCTTCTTGACGGTGTAGTCCCAACGGAAACCATCGCTGCCAGGGTCGGCGTTCTGGTTTCGGACCATCTTGGCGATCTTGTTCACCTCGCGGTTGGGAATCTTGATGACCTCTTCCTTGTTGGTGGATATGTCGATGCGAATAATCTCAATCTCGGCGGGCACCGTGGCATTAAAGATGATGGGAAGTGCCAGGCTCGACCTCGACTTGGGCGACAGGCACATGGATTCGTGGTCGGGGTTGAGGACGGCCGAGCCCTCAGGCAAAATGTTGATGATTTGCTTTCCCATAATGAGGGAGTGGTTATTGAGAATGCTGGAGACCTTGACATTGTGTTCCGAGATTGAAATCTCTCGATCGTAGAGGACTTTGACGAAAGCGAGTAGCCAAGAGAGGATGGGGATCTAATGGGGCGTATCCCAAGTTAGCTGATATTGTTGTTGCTGCTATGCCAGCTCAGGCAAAACGATCGAGGGGTAGGGATGGAGACCATACAGGGATGAGAAACATGAGAAACCAGTCAATGACAATGTGTGCACCGTAGAGTCCGATGACAACGGACTGCGACAGCTCTAGCCAGGGGATCCTGAGCTCTGGCAGCAGGAACAGAAAGGCGAAGTCGATTACGACCCATTTGGCAAAATTGGACCAAGACCCGACCCCTTCTTCAGCTACATCGGCCCAGTCGTACAGTTTCCAGGCCCAGAGAAGAGTGTATACACAAAAGGCGTACAGACGCTGCTGGGGCGCATCGAGGACGGTCAAGGGTATCAAGGGTTGGCTGGTGTGGGCGTGGGCGGGAGCATTCTCGGGAGCCAGAGGCAGAGCGGCCGGCTTGGCTGAGGAGCGACCACCGCCGAATGACGACGTCGAGCTGATCGATTCGGGCGTCTTCTGATAATGGGATGCTGCATCTCGTCTGTGGGCGGATCTCGGGGTTGCTGGGAACCCGGACCGCAGTCGGGGAGTCGCGTCGTTCATCGCATTCCGTGGTGATCGGTAGCTCCTTGGGAGAGTTGTGTGTGTGTGTGTGTGTGTCTGACCTCTGCTTATCCGTCCTTTCTTTTATCTCCTGCTTCTCTGTCCACTTGTCGAAGAAAGAGCAAGTGTTGAGGCCAAATGAAGAGGAAGCGTTGAGGCCAAATAAAGAGGATATAGTATGCCGTTCTCCAAGAATGAACGGAGGTTGGAAGTACCTTAGAACTGATACGATGCTTAAAATCACGGTGACGCAGGTGAAAATAATGACGGTCTGGTCTGGGTGGGTTTTAGCAAGCTGCGAGTTTGGGCAGTCGCGGTCCACGGTCGTTCCTGCTTTTTTTTTTTGCCAACAGTGGAACGCGCTGGGCAAAAAGCCTATACTAAGCGCATTAGTGGGAAAATGAGCAAATGGGTGGATGTTATTGGTTGTATGGGCTCTAATGCCAGCCATGCACAATAATAATGCCAAATCCAAGACAAGGAAAGTGCTAATGAGCTCCACCATCATCACCACCAGCATCGTTTTTATCTCAATCTCCTCTCTCTATCGCAGTGGAAAAGGTGTCTATTAACTATCATCTGTTTGCTTCTGACTGTCTCTGGGGCAAATGTGAAAGCAGCTCGATCCGCTTAGTGGAGCAGTCCTGATTGACTCTCATCAGTACCACTCCGACGTCAATGCGGTCAACACCATCTGAGCATCCGAGTGGACCACTGAGGCCCTCGGCGCTGAGCAACTACACGGAGCCGTTTATTTAGAGGTACGTCATGAGGAGTGTGGCTTTAGAGATAAAAGTTCCCTTTGTTTCTGCTATCCTGATGTAGTGCGATATTGCTTATTAGATATTGTGGCCGTCGACTCTGTGCGCTGTCTATTGTACCTTCTCCCTATCTCTCTCTCCCTCCACTGTTCTCTCCTCTTCCTTCTCCCATCTTCAACCAATTATTCTTCTTCGCCTTCTTTCCTTTCTTGTTTGTTCCTGGTTGGTAAGGCTCTCACTCTTCCATCATGTGAATTCCCGACTGGTGCGGATTTGTATAAAATCCCTTGTCCTGTGTTCGAATCTGCATATCTCAGAATACTATTCATATTCCTTTTGCACTTTCTATTTTCTCCCATTCATTACAGCATTCTACCTACATTGGATATGCCTGTAGCTACTCGACTTCAGGCCTCCAACGCGGCCTCATCCGGCAAAGGCGTCTTTTTTCTGATAAAGTTACTGACAACGGCCAGCTTGAAGGCGTCCCTCGCCCTCCTCCGCCACCTCGTCACTCGAAGCGTATACCCTTGCCATCTAAAAGACATTCCTCGTCTCTTGAGGCTCGAGGGGGCATCTCACCACGACGGCAACGCTCACCGGGAGGCCGGAAGAGACTACCCACTGCTGCACCGAAGGCCACCCCCCAGACACCTCCCAAGACGTGCCCCGTCTCTGCGCTGGAAAAGATCGCCACCGTCGTTCCGTCAGAGGCCATGGAAGAGCCCAGGCGTAACCCAAAACGCAAGGCCAGCGAGGCTACTGAGCGTATTGCCGACCACGACCCCTGGGACGTACTGTTAGAGGAAGCCCACAAACCTCTGACCGAAGAAGACCTGGAAGAATGGGAGGGCTGGATAGAATTGGAGTCTGATCCTGTGAGAAACTCCACAATTGATCTTGCTCAGACCTGGGAGTCAGGATCTTGCTGACAATATCAGGCCTTCTTTAGCACTATTCTCCACGAACTGGGCGTACGAAACGTCAAAGCACAAGAAATGTTTACAACTTCCGAGGAATCGGTAGCTACTCTACCGTGAGGTACCCAGCGGAAGTCCCCGTCTTCTATACCAGGCCACTTACCATTCATGTACCTCCAGAAAGCCTATATTTGGCATGATATTCTTGTTCAGATATGGATCAGTTTCAAATGAGACACAACACGGCGATGCTGCGGGGGATGATGTATGGTTCGCAAACCAGGTATGGCGAATGCCCCCTCATCTTTCTCTCTCCCCCTTCTTCCCCGACTCTTCTCTCTAAATACCATTGTTTCCAGACTACCAGCAATGCTTGCGCCACTGTCGCCCTGCTCAATACCGTCATGAACTCGCCCGAGATGGACATCGGCAACAAGCTCAGGGAATTCAAGGAAAAAACCAAGGAACTCAGCACGCCCCTTCGCGGGTACCAGCTCAGTTCCAGCCCGTTTATACGCAAAATTCACAACTCTTTTTCCCGCAGGATGGACCAGCTCAACGAGGACCTTTTTCTGGAGAATATGTCCAGCAATGGGATCGGTGCCAAAAGGTCAAGGAACAGCAGGGCTCAAAAGAAGGGCAGAAGAAGAAAAGGGAGTGGCCAAGATCCCCCTTTTCACTTTGTCGCCTATGTTCCTGTCAACGGCCAGGTCTGGGAGCTCGATGGGCTCAAGAAGAAACCCAGCGTTATCGGTAGGAATATGCTTGATCGCGAGGGCGTCATGATCATTTATTAACATTGCACAAGGCCCCATAAAGTCAAAAGACTGGACTGAGGTCGCGCGCAACCACATCCAGACAGTAATGACAGAACGCCAAGATGACCAGTTCGCATTCAACCTACTAGCCCTGTGCCAGAACCCTCTGGCATCGCACGCATGCAAGATTTCGCAGCACCTCAAGATCCTACAGACTCTCCGCGAGTCGATACAATCCGAACCTGAACTGTCAGGAAATGTCAGTACGACAGACAGCAATGCCCTCTTGGACAAAGTTGCAGACGAAGGACTCTTGGAATTCGAACTCACAACAGCTGATGTCGAGAATGTGGAGATAACCGAAACGTACAAGCGTGACATGGAAGAGGCATTGGGAAATGCCGAGAGCGTGCAGAAGCTACACGACTCTCTCGTCGTCATGACCAAGGCTTCCATGGGGGAGTACCGAGCAGAGCTGTCATCTGCGGCCGAGGAAGAACTGCGCGTTAAGGAACGCAAGAATGACTACGGCGCTGTACTTCAGAAATGGGTCTCAAAGTTGGCTGAGAAGGGAGTGTTGGAAGACATGATTGCTGACAGTAGGTAGTACGTGAATGCTAGCAAAAGTAAGTAGCAGCTCATGGAACAAGTTGGATAGAACGGAGCACACCCATGATTTGATCCCAGTAAGCAGCGCAATCAAGAGTCGTGTGTGTGTATGTGCGTATGGTTTTTCTTTTCTCTTCTCTTCTCTTCTTCTTTTTCTTTTTCTTTCCTTTGCCATATATGTTTTTACTTGTTTATTTTCTTTTCCATGCCTGATGTCCCTCCCCTCAGTCGTCGGGAAACTGCTCACGGTTGTTTGACACGAATGAGCATGTCTCCCTGTTGAACCTCTTGAAATACTTGCCAGCGTAGTGGAATAGATTCGAATCCACGACGTCGGGGTCCGTGATGATTTCAATGTCATCCTCAGCAATGACGTAGCGTTCTGCTGATGTAGTGCGACTGTTGAGATTGTCAGAATAGAGGAAGGCATGAGAAGAAGGCAAGAGAGCAAAGAACAAGGAAAGAATAAAAGAAGGGGAAGAGAGTGGGGGAGGGGGGAGAAGAAAAAAAACAGCCAAACCGACAGATATGTAAAATATGTCCTGCTATCAAGACGTAGGCGGTTGACAACATCCGAATCGGAAGCCTCCTCCCTGACATTGTCAGCGCCGACGTCAGAGCGACCGGCGCTGCTGTTGGACGTGGCCAAGTCCCGGGTACCCTGGTTACTCCAGCCGGTAATGACGCCGAGGTGTCCGTGACTCGTGTGACGAAAGACCTGGCCGATGCGATAGGACACGGTGTCGTTGAGCGGGTCGCGTGGGAAGACGGGGGAGGGCAGCCTGTCCGCGCGCTGGATGCTACGGAGCAGCTTCCAGGCGTCGTCTGACTGGCCGGCCGGACGACCAAAGGTGTTGCGACGGGTCGGCGCCCGGGGCACGAGGTGCCGCTCGACGAGCCAGGCGTCTTCAGGGAAGGAACGGACGAAGCGGCCGAGGAAGAGGTCTAGCCCGGCCCACGATTCGGGCGGGGTGATGACCAGGGAGGCCCACATGCTTGCGTACAGGCTCTTGATGAGGTTGACGGAGCCGGAGCCGTGGTAGAGGCGGGAGAGGCGGGTGAGGTGGGATGTCCCATCCTCATCGTCGTCGCCTCGATCAATGTCCTGCCGCCCTAGGACATCGACGTACGTGGCCATTATGTTCGTGCCGGTGCGGGCGAGAACGGTGGCGGAGCTGGCGGGGGAGAGGGCGTCGTGCACGTCGTGAGAGGCATCGTATCGCTCCAGGAGGGCCTCGAGGTGGGAGAGGGGCACCTCGTCGTCCTTGCCGAATGGGTCGAGGTACATCCTGTCCAGCGGGCGGAGGGTGGAGCTCACAGGCTCGTCATCCAGGGTTCTGCCCGTGGGGGCCTGGACGACGGCGTGGATGTGGCCAGGAAAGTTGCAGCAGTGGGCGTCTAGGCCGACGCGGCGCGCCACGCACGTGTATATGGCGCAGGAGATGATGGGGATGGAGTCGTGCTCCGAGGACCGCAGGGCCTGGCCGATCAGGCAGTTGCGCAGGTTGCGGTAGTCGTGCTGCGGGTCAGCGAGGCCGACGAGGTTCTCGGACCGGACCCAGCGGTTCAGCAACAAGGCCTTTTGACGAGTGGTCTTGAGCTCGAGGTCTGGATGGCCGGCGAGGAACTCGGCTGTGCGGTCGTCGATCATGCGAGTGATCTGACAAGGTCAGTCAGTAATGGGCTTCAAGGCACGGAAGAGAAAAGGGAAAGAGAGAAGGGGAGAACAAAAAGCCGCGGACCAAGCGAGCGTCGTACATCGTCAATGTCGGGAGAGTCTCCGTCTAGGACAAACATGTCTAGACCGCCCAGGACCTTTTCCAGACCTGGGTCCGGCTGGGTCCGGTCTGCTAGGGCCTGCCACTGTTCTATGCCTGCGCTGCGATGGATGCTGTCTAGGATGGTATCGCCAAAGTATCTGTGCAGTCGTGGGAGGGTCAGCAAGAACAGGACGGAGGGAATGGAAGGGACAGAACTCACTTCCTGGTCAGAACATTGTCGACATGGTCCGGCGTGTTGCGCTGAGCCATGAGAAAGTCCTTGGCTTGGTATCCGAGCTCGCTAATCTGGCCGATCCTAGCGAGCCGGTCGACCTTGGTTTCGAGGATGCCGTCAAACAGTCTCGAGATTAGGGCATCCGTCCTCTTTCGGGCGAGGTAGAGATCCTTCCAGTCTCCCTTGCCGACGGGGCTGCTCAGCTTGGCGGCATACTCATGACGAGGGTGCCAGTATCTGAAGCCGTTGACGCAGTAGTGTCTCCACAGCAGAGGTTCGTCCGAGAGCTGGGCAAGACGGCGGCAGACTAGACGGAATCGGCAGAGGGTGTCGTCGGGAGAGATGAAGTAGAGGAGATGATGGATTATTTCGTCTGGAAGTTGTGCCAAAGACATGATGGCGATGGTGGCGGTGATGGTGAAGATGATGCCATATCACTCTCCACCACGAGGGGTACGACGACTTCTTTGGCAGGAGCAGTAATAGCGAAGGACGAATAACACCACCAGTAGTGATGATGATGATACTCGTATGTAGGTCGTAATACCGACTGAGAAGGGCGACTCTCATACGGAGCAGCAGAGAAGCAAAACACCCGCAAGTTTTGAGCGGACGAGACTGGTTTCTTATGTCATAGGCCCAAAACTGCTTCTTCCACTCCCCCCTCCATCCGCCTCTCTCGGAAACGATCTCAAACGCAGGGCAATATACTCGTAGCGAATAGTAGTATGAGCGAATAAGCGAGATGCCGTCTGGGCAGTTATTTTTAAAACAAATACAGAAGAGGGTAGAAAGGTCAAAGAGAAAGAAAGAGGGGCACTACTCAGAATGTAAAAATAGAGGATGTCCAAGACTTTTCCACTCCAAAACGCGACCAATCCATCAAACCGTTACATGCTTCACCATTGCCCCCGGTCCGAAACGCACAAGACAACGCGCAGAGGGACGTACATGTACGAGTAACCTGTAGACGAGCAATATTATGTATCATGAGTACGGAGTATAGAGGCACCATTGAGAGAGAAGTGTGAGTGTGATTATATAATAATTTCTGAGTCATTCAGTAGAGGAAGAAAGAAAGCCCCACCCGGATGAGTAATCTCGAGAACGTGCAAAAAAGAAAACAAACCTGTATAAACCCCACGTAAAGTAAACAATTCGACACTAGTCCTAAATTGGACTGTAGGTAAACAACAATCAACGCGCCTTCTCATCAACCTTGTCGGCATGAATCTCACGACTTCTTACTCTCCTACCTAGAAGATCCTTTTCTTTTTTTTGATCTTTTTCACTTCTTATTTGTATCTGCAAATTTCGGGTCACTATCCTTTTTCTTTTCCTTTTACCTTTGGCAGTGTTCTTCCTCCCAACTCCCAGGATACCCACTTTACGTCTGACGGTTTTCTCTTTGTTTACTTCGACTCCGAATACCCCCCCTCCCGTACATAGAATGCGCCTTGCTGCACCACGACTACCGCGTTGAGTATACACGACACTTCCGGCGCCCCCTCCCCGAACGGCAAAGAATCCACCCCCTCCTCGACGCTCCAGCAGCCTGCTGGACCGATACAGGTTGACGTGTCCGGAAGACCGACACGCCCGCCATGGTCCCGCCCCGCGGTGTCCTCGACACACCCCAAACCAACCTGGGAGACGCGACGTACCTGAGACCCGACTTTGCCGACATCTCACAGGAGGCATCCTTCCAGTCCCCTAGCAAGGACGACAACCTCGTGCAGCAGCTCCGCAACGGCCGCTCCAAGGGTCTCAACATCCGCACACCTCGACAGCGCGACCCCCTAGGCGACCGTCGGAACCTCCCACAGAGCATCGGCGGCGCCGAGTTCACGCCGCTCCTCAAGTCAGCCACGCGGAACAGTGTGCGGCGAAACGGGAAGGAGAATGGCACTGCCGTGCCCAATACCCCGTCGGCCCTCAACCGGATCGAAGAGAACGACATGTCGCCTCTGCCCCGGATGGACGCCTCCATGTTTACTGGGTCACGTTCCCAGTCATTCCTGGACCATACGCCGCTGCCCCAGGTCGCAAGCAGCAGCGCCGCCCCGACACCGATAGCCATGCCTTTGCGACGCGACGCGGACAGGGGCCCCCTCGAGGACGGTAACGGGCTCTCGCTACGTGAGCAGGAGAATGTCATTGATAGGATCGAAAAGGAGAATTTCGGTCTCAAGCTCAAGATTCACTTCCTCGAAGATGCTCTCCGGAAAGCCGGACCGGGCTTTAGCGAAGCCGCCCTTAAGGAGAACACGGAACTCAAGGTCGACAAGGTGACGATGCAGAGGGAGCTGCACCGCTACAAGAAGCAGATCACCACGGCCGAGCGAGACCTCGAGAGCTACCGCCAACAGATGGTGGAGCTCCAGGACAAGGCCAAGCGCAAGTACGCCGACCAGCACCAGCAAGCCGAGCTGGAGCAGATGCGCCGGGCATTGGAGGAGCGCGAGGGACAGGTGCAGGACCTGCACAGGCAGCTCGAGGACGGCCAGAGGTCGCACCAGCAGGCCGCCAAGCTGCGGGACGAAATCACCGACCTCGAGGCTGATATCCGAGAAAAGGATCGCATCATCACGGAGAGAGAAGATGAGCTGGAGGATCTCAGGGACAAGCTCAAGGACGGCCAGGGATCCCAGGACCAAGTCGACAAGCTCCAGGACGACATTGCCGACATGGAAGCCGAAGCCCGCGAAAAGGATCGTCTGCTAGAGGAGAAGGATGACGAGCTGCAGGCGCTCAAGGAGAAGCTCGACGACGGCCAGAAGTTCAGGGACCAGGTTGACAAGCTGCAGGACGACATTGCAGACCTCGAGGTTGACCTCCGCGACAAGGACCGACTCCTCACCGAAAAGGACGATGAGCTGGAAGAGCTGAAGGAAAAGCTGGACGGCGTGGGTGACAGGGACGGCGAGGTCGAGGCGCTCCGTCGTGACGTTTCCGATCTTGAAGCAGACCTGAGCGCCAAGGATCGCGCCGTGACACACCTCGAGACGGAGCTGAGCAGCAAGGACCGCATCGTATCGGAGCTGGAAGCCGACCTGAACAGCCAACAGCGGCTTGTTTCCGAGCTGGAAGCCGACCTAAATAGCCAGCAACGACTCGTTACCGAGCTGGAAGCCGACCTACGCGCCAAGGACCGCATGGTGTCCGATCTCGAGGCAGACGCGCGCACCAAGGACCGCATCGTGGCCGAGAAGCAGAACGAGATCGAGAGCCTGCGGGCCAAGCTCGTCAACGAGGACAATGCGCACATCCTCGAGAAGCTGCAAGACGACATCGCCGACCTGGAGGCCGAGCTGAGCGACCGAGAAAATATGATTGGCGAGAAGGACCGGCAGCTGGAAGACCTCCAGGACAAGCTCGAAGACGCCAAGCAGCAGCTCCACGAGACGGGCCAGCTCCGGGACGACATCCTGGAGGACATGCGAGGCAAGCTCGACGCTGCGGAGCAAAAGGTCAAGGACATGCACGAGGTGCACGGAGATGAGCTAGAGGAAGTCAAAGGCCGACTGGACGAGGCGGAACGCAAGGGCCGCGACCTGAGGAGGCTCCAGAACGACATTGCCGACCTGGAAGCAGACCTCCGCGACAAGGAGCGACAGCTGTCGGCCAAGGACGACGAGGTCAGCGGTCTCAGGGCCAAACTCAATGCTGAGGACAAGACCAAGGTGTTCGAGAAGCTCCAGGAGGACATTGCGGGCCTGGAGTCGGAGCTGCGCGAGAAGGACCGGTCTCTGCGAGAAAGAGACCGGCTCCTGCGCAGCAAGGAGGACGAGGTGGAGGACGCGCAGGCACAGCTCGACGCGGCCGAGAGCAGGAACAAGACACTCCAGCGTGAGCTGCGCGAGGCGCTGCAGACGGACCACCAGGACGACAAGTCAGCGGCGCGGATCCGGCAGCTGGAGCGGGACCTCGACTCACGGTCCGACGACGTCAAGCGGCTGGAGAGGGAGCTGCAGGCCCGCACGGACGAGAAGAGGCAGCTCGAGCGCGAGGTGCAGTCGCGCAACGACGACAAGATGCTCCTCGAGCGGGACCTGCTGTCGCGATCTCAAGAAAAGAAGCTTCTCGAGGAGGAGTTGCAGGAGCGCACGGACGAGAAGGAGCTTCTGGAGGAGCTCCTGGACGATGCCAAGCAGGAGGCCGAGGAGGCGGTGGCAGAGCACGAGAACGCCCTGCGGCGACTGCAACTCAAGCTGGACGTGGCGGAGCGCCACCAGCAGCAGCAGCAGCAGCAGCAGCAGCAGCAGCCTCCGACCAGCCCGACACGACAAAGGAGGATAGAAGAGCAGCTGCGCCAGAGCCAGGCGGACATTGACAGCTTGGAGCAGTACGTGCGGCAGCAGCAGGAGACTGTCGACGCTCTGATAGCGTCGGAGGCGTCCCTGCGGCAGAAGGTGGACGAGGCGCGCAGCGAGGCGCGCAGCAGCAGGTTGACGACGACGGCGGCGGCGGCGGCGGCGACGGCCAGCAAGGAACGCGACAGCGAGGTGGAGAATCTCGAGCACGACGTGCGGCAGCAGGCCGAGACGATATCCAAGCTCGTAGCATCGGAGCGCTCGCTGCGTCAGAAGCTCGAGCGCGCACGGCAAGAGCGCGCGGCGGCGGCATCGACGGCAGCAACGGCGGCGGCGGCGGCAAGCCGCACGGAGCTGCGCAACCTAGAGCACGACGTCCGACAGCAGCAGTCGACCATTGACGCGCTCGTGGCGGCGGAGACGACTCTCCGGCAGAAGCTCGAGAGGGCACGCAGCGAGAGGGCGGCATACCGCGTCAGCGCCGAGAAGCTACACCGTGACCTGGAGAGGGAGCGTCGCAGCAACGGCAGCAACAGCAACAGCAACAGCAACAGCAACAGCAACAAGGGATCGACCCCTCAGAAGGCACATAGGGGATCGGACGAAGCCCTCGACACTGTGGTGCGCGCGGCAGAGAGCGCCGAGGAGAGGCACAAGAAGGAGCTGCGCGGTCTGGTGACGCAGATGGAGTGGATGCAGGCGAGGTTCAAGCGTGAAGTGTCGCTGCGGTCGGACGTGGCGTATGCCAAGCGTTTTGTGCAGCTGCAACTTCAAGTAGCCAATGCATGGTATGTCTTGTCCCTCTCCCTCTCCCTCTCTCTCTCTCTCTCTATATATATATATATATATATATATCCTCTTCTCCTTCACATCCTCTATTCTACTTCGAGTCCGAAATACTGATGACAAGACGAAACAGCAACAAAGCCCAACTCCGCGAACTAGAACACATGCGAACACAGATCCTCGGAAGTCGACAACCACTAGAAGTCCCATCTTCTTCTGGAAAAGCAGCAGCAGCAGCAGCATCGTCATTATCGGCGTCCACCCCCAACGGACGTCCAACCTTGAAGACGTTCCTCACCATGGCGAGATTCATTGCCAGAACACGCATATCGGCCCGAGGATGGGCTCAGCAAGAGTCTGTCCGGCAGAAGATTGTCGCCGCCGCCAAGGATGCGAAACGTCATAAGACGAGGAGGAGTCTCCGTGTCGTGAGGGTTGAGGAGGCTTGAATTCCTTCTTCTTCTTTTTTCTTCCTTTTTTTTTGTCTATCTGTGTCTCTCCCCCCCCCCCCCCCCC